CAGTACAGGAGATGACCAGAGACTGCGGACAGTACAGGAGATGACCAGAGACTGCGGACACAGTACAGGGATGACCAGAGACTGCGGACACAGTACAGGGATGACCAGAGACTGCCGACACAGTACAGGGATGACCAGAGACTGCCGACACAGTACAGGGATGACCAGAGACTGCGGACACAGTACAGGGATGACCAGAGACTGCGGACACAGTACAGGGATGACCAGAGACTGCGGACAGTACAGGGATGACCAGAGACTGCGGACACAGTACAGGGATGACCAGAGACTGCGGACACAGTACAGGAGATGACCAGAGACTGCGGACAGTACAGGGATGACCAGAGACTGCGGACAGTACAGGGATGACCAGAGACTGCGGACACAGTACAGGAGATGACCAGAGACTGCGGACACAGTACAGGGATGACCAGAGACTGCGGACACAGTACAGGGATGACCAGAGACTGCGGACAGTACAGGGATGACCAGAGACTGCGGACAGTACAGGAGATGACCAGAGACTGCGGACAGTACAGGAGATGACCAGAGACTGCGGACACAGTACAGGAGATGACCAGAGACTGCGGACACAGTACAGGAGATGACCAGAGACTGTGGACAGTACAGGAGATGACCAGAGACTGCGGACACAGTACAGGGATGACCAGAGACTGCGGACACAGTACAGGGATGACCAGAGACTGCGGACAGTACAGGGATGACCAGAGACTGCGGACAGTACAGGGATGACCAGAGACTGGGGACACAGTACAGGGATGACCAGAGACTGCGGACACAGTACAGGAGATGACCAGAGACTGGGGACACAGTACAGGAGATGACCAGAGACTGGGGACACAGTACAGGAGATGACCAGAGACTGCGGACAGTACAGGAGATGACCAGAGACTGCGGACACAGTACAGGAGATGACCAGAGACTGCGGACACAGTACAGGAGATGACCAGAGACTGTGGACAGTACAGGAGATGACCAGAGACTGCGGACACAGTACAGGGATGACCAGAGACTGCGGACACAGTACAGGGATGACCAGAGACTGCGGACAGTACAGGGATGACCAGAGACTGCGGACAGTACAGGGATGACCAGAGACTGGGGACACAGTACAGGGATGACCAGAGACTGCGGACACAGTACAGGAGATGACCAGAGACTGGGGACAGCACAGGGATGACCAGAGACTGCGGACAGTACAGAGATGACTGCTGACCTTTGGGGAGGGAGGGGGGGGAGGTACCTGAATTTGACAGGTACCCGCTCTTACTTCCGCAGAGTTTTTTTTTTTATCTTACCTGTTCCTCTATCCAGCCGCGCGCTGTCTTCCCGGCTTCTGTAGTGTGGGCGCTCGTCGGACAGCCGGATGCCCAGTGCGCATGCGCGAGAAGCGCTGCGCTTTGTGATTGGTCCGGCGGCTTCTGGGATCTGTCATGTGTCCCAGGTACGCCTTACCATTCACAAAGAGCACTGCTTCTTGTGCATGCGCACTTGGGACCCGGCTGTCACGCACACTACAGCCGGGAAGACAGCGCGCCGCTGGATTCTCCTGGCGTGCCCACAGATAAGGCTCGGCGTGCCGGCTGTGGCACGCGTGCCACGGGTTCGCCATCACTGCACTAGTACAACCTCCTCCAATCCACCCTCCTAGTACAACTCCTCCCAATCCCCCCTCCTAACACAAATCCCCCCTCCTAGTACAACTCCTCCCAATCCCCCCTCCTAACACAAATCCCCCCTCCTAGTACAACTCCTCCCAATCCCCCCCTAACACAAATCCCCCCTCCTAGTACAACTCCTTCCAATCCCCCCCCCTCCTAACACAAATCCCCCCTCCTAGCACAAACCCCTTCCAAACCCCCCCACTAGTACAACTCCTCCCAATCCCCCCTCCTAACACAAATCCCCCCTCCTAGTACAACTCCTCCCAATCCCCCCTCCTAACACAAATCCCCCCTCCTAGCACAACCCCTCCCAATCCCCTCTCCTAGCACAACTCCTCCCAATCCCCCCTCCTAACACAAATCACCCCTCATAGCACAACTTCCCCCATTTCCCCCCTCCTAGCACAAATCTCCCCTCCAAATAAAAGATGGATGAAAGATTTGGCACTGGGAAACACACTTTTTGATAAATAGTACATTTTTATATACAACTACATGGATCAGACCAGAATGAGGGATAAAATGAGGAGGACAGAAAGCAGGGAGACAGAGGGGCAGGGTACAGAAGGACAGAGAGATGGAGGGACAGGGGGACAGAAGGGCAGGAGGACAGATGGAGAGATGGGCAGGGGGACAGAGGGGCAGGAGGACAGAGGGATGGAAGGACAGAGAGATGGAGGGCCAGGGGGACAGTAGGGCAGGGGGACGGAGGACAGGAGAACAGAGGGGCAGGGGGACAGAGGGGCAGGGGGACAGAGGAACAGGTGGACAGAGGAGCAGGAGGACAGAGGGGCAGGAGGACAGAGGGGCAGAGGGACAGGGGAACAGGTGGACAGAGGGGCAGGAGGACAGAGGAACAGGGGGACAGAGGAACAGGGGGACAGAGGGGCAGAGGAACAGGTGGACAAAGGGGCAGGAGGACAGAGGTGCAGGGGGACAGAGGGGCAAGTGGACAGAGGGGCAGGAGGACAGAGGAACAGGGGGACAGAGGGGCAGGGACAGAGGGGCAGGAGGACAGAGGAACAGGGGGACAGAGGAACAGAGAAACAGGTGGACAGAGGGGCAGGAGGACAGAGGGGCAGGAGGACAGAGGAACAGGGGGACAGAGGGGCAGGGGGACAGAGGAGCAGGGGGACAGAGGGGCAGGAGAACAGAGGAACAGGGGGACAGAGGAGCAGGGGGGGACAGAGGGGCAGGTGGACAGAGGGGCAGGACAGGGGGCAGGAGAGGGAACAGGTGGACAGAGGGGCAGGAGAGGACAGAGGAACAGGGGGACAGAGGGGCAGGGGACAGAAGGACAGAGAGATGGAGGGACAGAAGGGCAGGAGGACACAGAGGGAGAGAGGGGAAGGGGGACAGAGGGATGGAAGGACAGAGAGATGGAGGGCCAGGGGACAGTAGGGCAGAAGGACAGAGGGGCAGGGGGACGGAGAGGACAGAGGAACAGAGGGGCAGGGGGACAGAGGAACAGGTGGACAGAGGGGCAGGAGGACAGAGGGCAGGAGGACAGAGGAACAGGTGGACAGAGGGGCAGGAGGACAGAGGGGGAGGAGGACAGAGGGGCAGGAGGACAGAGGAACAGGGGGACAGAGGAACAGGTGGACAGGGGGCAGGAGGACAGAGGAACAGGGGGACAGAGGGGCAGGGGGACAGAGGAACAGGTGGACAGAGGGGCAGGGGACAGAGGGGGGGACAGAGGAAACAGGAACAGGGGGACAGGGGGACAGAGGGGCAGGAGGACAGAGGGGCAGGAGGACAGAGGGGACAGGGGGACAGAGGAACAGGGGGACAGAGGGGGACAGGGGCAGGAGGACAGAGGGGCAGGGAGGACAGAGGGGCAGGGGGAAAGAGGAGCAGGGGCAGGGGGGACCAGGGGGACAGAGGAACAGGTGGACAAAGGGGCAGGAGGACAGAGGAGGGGACAGACAGAGGAACAGGGGGCAGAGGGGCAAGGTGGACAGAGGGGCAGGAGGACAGGAGGACACAGGGGCAGAGGGGCAGGAGGACAGAGGGGCAGGAGGACAGAGGGACAGAAGGACAGAGAGATGGAGGGCCAGGGGGACAGTAGGGCAGAAGGACAGAGGGGCAGGGGGACGGAGGACAGGGGAACAGAGGGGCAGGGGGACAGAGGAACAGGTGGACAGAGGGGCAGGGGGAAGAGGGGCAGGAGGACAGAGGAACAGGTGGACAGAGGGGCAGGAGGGCAGAGGAACAGGGGGGACAGAGGAACAGGTGGACAGAGGGGCAGGAGGACAGAGGAACAGGGGGACAGAGGGGCAGGGGGACAGAGGAACAGGTGGACAAAGGGGCAGGAGGACAGAGGGGCAGGGGGACAGAGGGGCAGGTGGACAGAGGGGCAGGAGGACAGAGGAACAGGGGGACAGAGGGGCAGGTGGACAGAGGGGCAGGAGGACAGAGGAACAGGGGACAGAGGGGCAGGAGGACAGAGGAACAGGGGGACAGAGGGGCAGGGGGACAGAGGGGCAGGGGGACAGAGGGGCAGGGGACAGAGGGGCAGGAGGGGGACAGAGGAACAGGGGGACAGAGGGGCAGGAGGACAGAGGAACAGGGGACAGAGGGGCAGGAGGAAGAGGAGCAGGGGGACAGAGGAACAGGGGGACAGAGGGGCAGGAGGACAGAGGAACAGGTGGACAAAGGGGCAGGAGGACAGAAGGGCAGGAGGACAGAGGAACAGGGGGACAGAGGGGCAGGAGGACAGAGGAACAGGTGGAGGGGGGGGGGGCAGGTGGACAGAGGGGCAGGCTAACAGGGGAAACAGATGAGCAGGATGGCAGAGGAGCAGGATGACAGGGGGACAGAGGGGCAGAGGAGCAGGATGACAGGGGGACAGAGGGGCAGAGGAGCAGGATGACAGAGGGGCAGAGGAGCAGGATGACAGGGGGACAGAGGGTGGCAGGGGGAAAAATGAGGACAGCGGGATTTGTTCGGAATCAGTGACAGTTGGGAGGTATGAAGCACGTGTGGTGCGTTTTGCAGCGATTGCGGTGCGACTCGGGATTATGGGCTGAGGATGATGATTTCTGGCCGCGATTCAAAATTGTGAGTGTTTTTGTTCTTTTTATGTGTAGGCCCAAAACAATTTGTCTTCTCCCGATGGAAGGCCAGAAGGTCGGACACCCCCGGATCCAGGCAGCTGGAATACATAGGCAGCCAAAACCCGGATCCCCGCTGTACCCGCTGTGCGCCCAGGAGGAGCTGATTCCAGTTGCAGTTCCCCCTCCAGCTTCTAAGCGTCGCTGTCCTCTCTTCGTCTTGGTTTTGACGAAGAGCCGTCCTGTCCTCTGTCCGCGCATGCGCCTCTCCCTCTCATCCACGTTGACGTGCAGATCTCTGTTGAGTGTTGCTTCGGCGGGAGAGTCTGGCGCGCGAGGGGAGAGAGAAAATGGCGGGAAGTATGAAGAAGACAACCTGGCCGGGGAGCCCGGAGGAGAGGTGAGGGGCTGCTGTGTGTGTGATGGCGGGAAAACCACACCAGGAAATGTTCCCGGATGTGGATGATGTGTGACAGGAATTCTTTGACAGTATGGATGTCCGTGTTCCGGTAATGTGGATGGCGGGCTGGGACTCGTAGTTCTGTTGTTTACTTCTGCTGGTTTGTTTGCTAGAACATGTTGTACCGCCCCAGAGAGAATGCAATGGCGGGTTCCTTTCATTTCTTTTTAACCACATACCTGCCGGCAGAGGAGTCCCTGGGGTTGGTGACACCCGGTGCAGTAACACCCCCTCCGACGGTCCCCGCAGGATGGATGCGATCTGCGGAGTGAGCATAACGGATCAGACTCCGATCCATTGTCCTCCCCAATCCGCAGATCCCATCCATCCTGCGGGGACCGTCGGCTTTCTTTACAACTGCCCACCGTCAGTGCCCCCACCGTCACCATCCCCCCACCATCCGCGCCCCCTCAGTAACACAGTGAAGGAGAACAATGAGCTGCTTGGAAAATGTTATTGGTTATAGCACAAAAAATAACCCCCGGCCCGGCCCGTGTTCAGCTGTCAGCGGTGTTACACTTCGGAGGACAATCGCGGTCATGTGACACCGCACACACGTGACCCGTGTATCATTCCTCACAGCTTTGTTTGGGGGGGTCTGTACTCCCCGCGGGGGGGGGGGGGGTAATTTTGTGCTATAAACAAAAAAGAGCAAATAATGTTTTTTTTTTAATTTTTTTTCTATTATAAAATTTACAAGCAGATCATTGCTCTCCTTCACTGATGTGTTACTGAGGCTGCACTGATGGTGGGTACGCGGCACTGATGGTGGGGGGCACTGATGGTGGGTACGCTGCACTGATGGTTGGGGGGCACTGATGGTGGGTACGCTGCACTGATGGTGGGGGGGCACTGATGGTGGGGGGCACTGATGGTGGGTACGCTGCACTGATGTGTTGGTGGGTACGCTGCACTGATGTGTTGGTGGGGCTGCACTGATGTGTGGGGGGCTGCACTGTGTTGGTGGGCTGCATGATGTTGGTGGGGCTGCACTGATGGTGGGGCTGCACTGATGGTGGGGCTGCACTGATGGTGGGGCTGCACTGATGGTGGGGGGCACTGATGGTGGGTACGCTGCACTGATGGTGGGGGGCACTGATGGTGGGTACGCTGCACTGATGGTGGGGGGCACTGATGGTGGGTACGCTGCACTGATGGTGGGTACGCTGCACTGATGGTGGGTACGCTGCACTGATGGTGGTGGGCTGCACTACGCTGCACTGATGGTGGGGCTGCACTGATGTGTTGGTGGTGGGGGCTGCACTGATGTGTTGGTGGGGCTGCACTGATGGTGGGGCTGCACTGATGGTGGGGCTGCACTGATGTGTTGGTGGGGCTGCACTGATGGTGGGGCTGCACTGATGTGTTGGTGGGGCTGCACTGATGTGTTTGTGGGGCTGCACTGATGTGTTACTGAGACGGCACTGATACTGGGCTGCACTGATGTGTTACTGGGGCGGCACTGATGGTGGGGCTGCAGTGATGGTGGGGCTGCCCGGGTGGGCGGCACTGATGGTGGGGGCACTGATGGTAGAGCTGCACTGATGTTGGGCACTGATGGTGGGCGGAGCTGATGTTGGGCACTGATGGTGGGCGGAGCTGATGTTTATAGCGCAAAGACCGCATAGGTGATCAAATTCCACCGAAAGAGCACAATTTGTGGGGAAAAAATGACATCAATTTTATGTACAGCGTTTAATGACCGCGCAATTGTGAGTCAAAGTAATGCAGCGCCGTACCGCAAAAAAATGGTCTGGTCATGGAGGGGGGGGGGGGGAGCCTCTGGGTGGCGAGGGGGTAATAGGAGGTCAGAGGGACTGGCAGGAACTCCGGGGTCACAAAGGAAGCAATACAATGAGAACAGGAGACTTCTTCATACAAGTACATGGGGCAGCCGGCACACATCAGGGATGGAAAATTTTACCTTTTTAACTACTTGCCAACCGCAGAATGACGGCTACACTGCAGCCGGCCAGCTCTGGGAGGGCATCGTATGACGTCCTCCCAGAACGCGCTTTCCTGCGCATCCCCGGTGATCTCCGTGATGTGGTAAAAGTCCAATCACAGCGGCCTTTTACCATGTGATCAGACGTGTCCAATGACACAGCAGATCACCGGGAAATGCAATTGCCGGTTCTTGGCTGCACTTTCCTCACGCTGTCAGAGCAGGGATCGGCACCGATCATCAGTGCCCTGATGATCGGTGCCCACCAGTGCCACCCAGCAGTGCTACCCAGCAGTGCCACCCACCTGTGCCCAGCAGTTGCGCCAGTATATGTATATATCTATATATATATATATATATATATATATATAATATGTGTGTGTATATATATAATGTGTGTATATATATAAAATTTTATTGATTTATATTTTAAACTAATGGCAGTGATCGCTAATTTATGGTGGGACTGCGATAGTGCGGTGGGCAATCTGACACTAACTGCCACTGACACTAATACAGTGATCAGTAATACTATAAGCAATTACTGTACTAATGACACTGACTGGAATGTGTCCCTAACAATGATTAATGTGCTGCTTTTTACTCCCGGTCTTTGCCTCCTATTCCTGCTTTGCTAGGATAAGGAACAGAAACACGGTTCCCTCTGTACATAGCTCTGTGTTGATTGTCAACATAGGGCTCTGGGCTGTGATTGGACACAGCTGATCAGCAGGTCCCGGGCTTGATTCATTGGCTGGGACTCGCTGACAGACTCCTGCTGTGTACAATCAGAGCAAGTGTCAGCACGGGGGGCATGCATGCGCCCCTCTAAGCCCAGAAGCAGGCAGCGGTGTACAGTACGTCGGTTTGCCTGAGCGGCCCCCCGTCTGCAGTACATGGCTGGCGGTCCACAAGTGGTTAAATTCGCAGGATGAGTCTTTTGCAAGACAGCAAACTGGTCCCGGCACAGACGGCAGTAAAAACGTGCTGTAGTGGCTCACCCAGATGTGATTGGTCAGAGAGAAATCTGTGCATCAAAAGAACCAATTCTAAGTGTTGTGATTTTCTCTCGTAGGCACAACCCGTGTGTGTGAGGACATCGGGGGCCAAGTCCCGGCTTGGGGCCGGCGTGTTTCTCCGGAGGAACGGACCGCCAACATAAATGTAAGTCACCATACTGATTGGCAGTTCTGTTTTCCTGCAGAGGTTAATGAAACATCCTGTTACATACATTCCTGGTGGCTTCCCGCACCGGGATTGTGTGTAAATCTGACAGGTGACTCCTTTCTGTCAGATGGAGCATTCGGGAGGCTGCGCTTGACTGCTTCCACACAACATGGCAGGTGCTGCTGGGTAAAGGGGAGGGAGGAGAGCAGACACATGTCCTCTCTTCTCTCTTCCTTGTTTCTGACCCGGAAATGTGTGACAAACACTTCCAGGTCCACCTCAGTGTCCCCGGCCAGCATGACTTCTCCTTTTAAGCATGTGTGCAAGAAAACACAAAAATGGCTTTGGCAGCAAAAAGGTCAAACTTTGAAATCGTAAGTCGGAGGGGGCGGCGGTGGTGTACTTGGCCGGAGGGGCGGCGGTGGTGTACTTGGCCGGAGGGGCGGCGGTGGTGTACTTGGCCGGAGGGGCGGCGGTGGTGTACTTGGCCGGAGGGGCGGCGGTGGTGTACTTGGCCGGAGGGGGGCGGCGGTGGTGTACTTGGCCGGGACAGGGGCGGCGGTGGTGTACTTGGCCGGAGGGGCGGCGGTGGTGTACTTGGCCGGAGGGGCGGCGGTGGTGTACTTGGCCGGAGGGGCGGCGGTGGTGTACTTGGCCGGAGGGGCGGCGGTGGTGTACTTGGCCGGAGGGGCGGCGGTGGTGTACTTGGCCGGAGGGGCGGCGGTGGTGTACTTGGCCGGAGGGGCGGCGGTGGTGTACTTGGCCGGAGGGGGGGACGGCGGTGGTGTACTTGGCCGGAGGGGCGGCGGTGGTGTACTTGGCCGGAGGGGCGGCGGTGGTGTACTTGGCCGGAGGGGCGGCGGTGGTGTACTTGGCCGGAGGGGGCGGCGGTGGTGTACTTGGCCGGAGGGGCGGCGGTGGTGTACTTGGCCGGAGGGGCGGCGGTGGTGTACTTGGCCGGAGGGGCGGCGGTGGTGTACTTGGCCGGAGGGGCGGCGGTGGTGTACTTGGCCGGAGGGGCGGCGGTGGTGTACTTGGCCGGAGGTGGTGTACTTGGCCGGAGGTGGTGTACTTGGCCGGAGGTGGTGTACTTGGCCGGAGGTGGTGTACTTGGCCGGAGGTGGTGTACTTGGCCGGAGGTGGTGTACTTGGCCGGAGGTGGTGTACTTGGCCGGAGGTGGTGTACTTGGCCGGAGGTGGTGTACTTGGCCGGAGGTGGTGTACTTGGCCGGAGGTGGGTGTACTTGGCCGGAGGTGGTGTACTTGGCCGGAGGTGGTGTACTTGGCCGGAGGGGCGGCGGTGGTGGTGTACTTGGCCGGAGGGGCGGCGGTGGTGGTGTACTTGGCCGGAGGGGCGGCGGCGGTGGTGTACTTGGCCGGGAGGGGCGGCGGCGGCGGTGTACTTGGCCGGAGGGGCGGCGGCGGCGGTGTACTTGGCCGGAGGGGCGGCGGCGGCGGTGTACTTGGCCGGAGGGGCGGCGGCGGCGGTTTGTACTTGGCCGGAGGGGCGGGCGGCGGCGGTGTACTTGGCCGGAGGGGCGGCGGCGGCGGTGTACTTGGCCGGAGGGGCGGCGGCGGCGGCGGTGTACTTGGCCGGAGGGGCGGCGGCGGCGGTGTACTTGGCCGGAGGGGCTGGCGCGGCGGCGGTGTACTTGGCCGGAGGGGCGGCGGCGGTGTACTTGGCCGGAGGGGCGGCTGCGGCGGTGTACTGTGCCTGGAGGGGGCGGCGGCGGCGGTGCTGGCCTACGGCTGCGGTGTACTGTGCCTGGAGGGGCGGCTGCGGTGTACTGTGCCTGGAGGGGCGGCTGCGGTGTACTGTGCCTGGAGGGGCGGCTGGCGGTGTACTGTGCCTGGAGGGGCGGCTGCGGTGTACTGTGCCTGGAGGGGCGGCTGCGGTGTACTGTGCCTGTAGGGGCGGCTGCGGTGTACTGTGCCTGGAGGGGCGGCTGCGGTGTACTGTGCCTGGAGGGGCGGCTGCGGTGTACTGGGCCTGGAGGGGCGGCTGCGGTGTACTGGGCCTGGAGGGGCGGCTGCGGTGTACTGGGCCTGGAGGGGCGGCTGCGGTGTACTGGGCCTGGAGGGGCGGCTGCGGTGTACTGGGCCTGGAGGGGCGGCTGCGGTGTACTGGGCCTGGAGGGGCGGCTGCGGTGTACTGGGCCTGGAGGGGCGGCTGCGGTGTACTGGGCCTGGAGGGGGCGGCTGCGGTGTACTGGGCCTGGAGGGGCGGCTGCGGTGTACTGGGCCTGGAGGGGCGGCTGCGGTGTACTGGGCCTGGAGGGGCGGCTGCGGTGTACTGGGCCTGGAGGGGCGGCTGCGGTGTACTGGGCCTGGAGGGGCGGCTGCGGTGTACTGGGCCTGGAGGGGCGGCTGCGGTGTACTGGGCCTGGAGGGGCGGCTGCGGTGTACTGGGCCTGGAGGGGCGGCTGCGGTGTACTGGGCCTGGAGGGGCGGCGGTGCTGTACTGGGCCTGGAGGGGCGGCGGTGGTGTGTACTTGGCCTGGAGGGGCGGCGGCGGTGGTGTACTTGGCCGGAGGGGCGGCGGCGGTGGTGTACTTGGCCGGAGGGGGCGGCGGCGGCGGTGTACTTGGCCGGAGGGGCGGCGGCGGCGGTGTACTTGGCCGGAGGGGCGGCGGCGGTGTACTTGGCCGGAGGGGCGGCGGCGGTGTACTTGGCCGGAGGGGCGGCGGCGGTGTACTGTGCCTGGAGGGGCGGCGGCGGTGTACTGTGCCTGGAGGGGCGGCTGCGGTGTACTGTGCCTGGAGGGGCGGCTGCGGTGTACTGGGCCTGGAGGGGCGGCTGCGGTGTACTGGGCCTGGAGGGGCGGCTGCGGTGTACTGGGCCTGGAGGGGCGGCTGCGGTGTACTGGGCCTGGAGGGGCGGCGGTGTACTGGGCCTGGAGGGGCGGCTGCGGTGTACTGGGCCTGGAGGGGCGGCTGCGGTGTACTGGGCCTGGAGGGGCGGCTGCGGTGTACTGGGCCTGGAGGGGCGGCTGCGGTGTACTGGGCCTGGAGGGGCGGCTGCGGTGTACTGGGCCTGGAGGGGCGGCTGCGGTGTACTGGGCCTGGAGGGGCGGCTGCGGTGTACTGGGCCTGGAGGGGCGGGCTGCGGTGTACTGGGCCTGGAGGGGCGGCTGCGGTGTACTGGGCCTGGAGGGGCGGCTGCGGTGTACTGGGCCTGGAGGGGCGGCGGTGCTGTACTGGGCCTGGAGGGGCGGCGGTGCTGTACTTGGCCTGGAGGGGCGGCGGTGCTGTACTTGGCCTGGAGGGGCGGCGGTGCTGTACTTGGCCTGGAGGGGCGGCGGGGCTGTACTTGGCCTGGAGGGGCGGCGGGGCTGTACTTGGCCTGGAGGGGCGGCGGGGGTGGACTTGGTATACTTGGATTTTGTAAAAGCATTTGACACCGTTCCCCACACACCCCTCCGGCCAAGTACACCACCGCCACCCCTCCGACTTATGACTTCAAAGTTTGACCTTTTTGCTGCCAAAGCCATTTTTGTGAAAGTCTACAGGCTTGGAAAAATCAGTTTGTAAATGGATAGAAAACTTACTAAAAGCCCAAATTCAGAGTATTGGTTAATGATTCCCACTCTGAATCGTCCATAATAATGGGAATAGGATTTCTCTATGGGGGGGTTTGCAGGACAGGAAGTGAAAATAAATCCATTTATTTGTTACAACTTTAATATTGTTATTTATGACAAGTAATATCTGTGGCCCCAGAGAGGACATTCCCTTCATCCACTGATAGTGCCGACAAGACGCAGAGAAGTACGGGGTCCATAAAAGTATTCTTAGCTACTGAAATCTAATTGGTCATTTCTGCTACTAAACCCCAATGCAGATGTTTTGCCACCAAATGAAATGTTTGTTCTACAGACAAAGCTTCTAGTTTAAAAAATGTGAATTTATTATAGTGAACACTCACTGATTTGTGCTGATCTACTGGGGGCTGCAGACTGATAATTATTTAAGGGGTTTCCTGAAATTTAGACAAAAAAATTGGCTTGATGATTAAAAGGTTGACAAACTTCCCTACAGGGCGTATGTCCGGCACCCCCTACAGGACATTTGTCCGGCACCCACCTAAAGGACGTGTTCCGGCACCCCCTACAGGGCTTTTCCAGCACCACCGAGAAGGTGTTTGTTCGGTACCCCCTACAGGGTGTTTTTTCCGGCGCTCCTTTCAATGCGTTTGTTTGGCACCCCCTTCGTTGCTTTTGTTGGGCACCCCCTACATTGCGTTTGTCCGACACCTGCTACAGGTTGCTGTCCGGCACCCCCTACACTGCCTTTGTCCGACACCCAATAGAGGGCGTTTGTGCGGCACCTGCTACAAGGCGTTTGTGCGGCACCCGCAAAAGGGCGTTTGTCTAGCCCTCCCTAAAGGGCGTTTATCCGAGACCCGCTATAGTGCGTTTGTCCGGTACCCCCTACAGGGTGTTGGTCTGGCAACCCCTACGAGGCGTCTGTCCGGCACCGTCTACAGGGCGTTTGTCCGGCACCCCCTATAGGGAAGTTTGTCGAACCTCCTTCCCTGGGCTTCTTAATTAGAATTCCACAGAAGTCTGGTGGTTGGTCACTGCAGGCGGCGATGGGGGGTGAGGAGAGGATCTGTCTGGGTAGGAAGGTGGTAGCTGGGATGGTAGAAACAGTCAATGAGGAATGTCAGGAGTACAGAGCAAGACCACACACACCCAGAAATCGATGTGTATGATGTCACTTTCAGGTCGGCCTCTGTGTCCCCAACCAGCATGACCAGGAAATAATGTAATGCAATGCGATCTGCATTGTACTACATTCAGGGGATTCATGCCGGGTCTATTATACCCTGAGTGTCTCATTAACCATGATTTGTTTCCCAAAAAATCATCACTTGGGGACTTTATGTGCCCTATGTGATGTAAAAAAAAAAAGTTTTTAATAGTAAATAATTAGTTCTACCCAAACACATAAAATATCCCACCCCCACCCTTTAAAAAAAAAAAAAAAAAAAAAAAAAAGTTTTTTCAGAAAATATTTCTAATGTTTGGTGATTTTATGTAATCTTCAGGCCTAAAATGATATTTATTTATTTATTTTAAGCATTTGTGCCGGCAACACAAACGGTTTTGGCAGTGAAAGGGTTCAATAAACTCTCTAGATAATCGCAAGGCTTCCTGCTTGGGTTGAGCAGCTTAAGTAAAGGCATGAAAAAGTGTCACTCATGTCTCTGCCACTACCTGAGGGTACTAATGAGAAAAACAATAGCTGTGTTGTGTAATGTGTATGTATGAGGACAAATGTGTAAAATGCTGAAGTTTGTTTTTTTTTCTCTCTGCAGGCCATCGGTGCTAAAACATTGAGGAACATCGGCTGAAAGTACATCTATGACAAGTGTCCTGCTGGAGCTGCACATGGTAGGTCGTTTTAAATTGCAAAGCATTTCCTGCTGTTGTGACTTTCATCCCGAAGGTTATTCCATCCGAACGTTGTTTTAGTTTGGGTGGTTAAAGTGTTACTGACCACTTGAAGTGGTACCGTGGACTGTACGTCTATACTGACTGGGGGTTTGTGCTGGGCGGGGACCATCTGTCTATACTGAGGGCTCTGTGCTGAGGGCGCCGTCCGTCTATACTGAGGGCTCTGTGCTGAGGGCGGAGGGGCGGCTGTGGTGTACTTGGCCTGGAGGGGCGGCTGTGGTGTACTTGGCCTGGAGGGGCGGCTGTGGTGTACTTGGCCTGGAGGGGCGGCTGTGGTGTACTTGGCCTGGAGGGGCGGCTGTGGTGTACTTGGCCTGGAGGGGCGGCTGTGGTGTACTTGGCCTGGAGGGGCGGCTGTGGTGTACTTGGCCTGGAGGGGCGGCTGTGGTGTACTTGGCCTGGAGGGGCGGCTGTGGTGTACTTGGCCTGGAGGGGCGGCTGTGGTGTACTTGGCCTGGAGGGGCGGCTGTGGTGTACTTGGCCTGGAGGGGCGGCTGTGGTGTACTTGGCCTGGAGGGGCGGCTGTGGTGTACTTGGCCTGGAGGGGCGGCTGTGGTGTACTTGGCCTGGAGGGGCGGCTGTGGTGTACTTGGCCTGGAGGGGCGGCTGTGGTGTACTTGGCCTGGAGGGGCGGCTGTGGTGTACTTGGCCTGGAGGGGCGGCTGTGGTGTACTTGGACTGGAGGGGCGGCTGTGGTGTACTTGGCCTGGAGGGGCGGCTGTGGTGTACTTGGCCTGGAGGGGCGGCTGTGGTGTACTTGGCCTGGAGGGGCGGCTGTGGTGTACTTGGCCTGGAGGGGCGGCTGTGGTGTACTTGGCCTGGAGGGGCGGCTGTGGTGTACTTGGCCTGGAGGGGCGGCTGTGGTGTACTTGGCCTGGAGGGGCGGCTGTGGTGTACTTGGCCTGGAGGGGCGGCTGTGGTGTACTTGGCCTGGAGGGGCGGCTGTGGTGTACTTGGCCTGGAGGGGCGGCTGTGGTGTACTTGGCCTGGAGGGGCGGCTGTGGTGTACTTGGCCTGGAGGGGCGGCTGTGGTGTACTTGGCCTGGAGGGGCGGCTGTGGTGTACTTGGCCTGGAGGGGCGGCTGTGGTGTACTTGGCCTGGAGGGGCGGCTGTGGTGTACTTGGCCTGGAGGGGCGGCTGTGGTGTACTTGGCCTGGAGGGGCGGCTGTGGTGTACTTGGCCTGGAGGGGCGGCTGTGGTGTACTTGGCCTGGAGGGGCGGCTGTGGTGTACTTGGCCTGGAGGGGCGGCTGTGGTGTACTTGGCCTGGAGGGGCGGCTGTGGTGTACTTGGCCTGGAGGGGCGGCTGTGGTGTACTTGGCCTGGAGGGGCGGCTGTGGGTGTACTTGGCCTGGAGGGGCGGCTGTGGTGTACTTGGCCTGGAGGGGCGGCTGTGGTGTACTTGGCCTGGAGGGGCGGCTGTGGTGTACTTGGCCTGGAGGGGCGGCTGTGGTGTACTTGGCCTGGAGGGGCGGCGGTGGTGTACTTGGCCTGGAGGGGCGGCGGTGGTGTACTTGGCCTGGAGGGGCGGCGGTGGTGTACTTGGCCTGGAGGGGCGGCGGTGGTGTACTTGGCCTGGAGGGGCGGCGGTGGTGTACTTGGCCTGGAGGGGCGGCTGTGCTGTACTTGGCCTGGAGGGGCGGCTGTGCTGTACTTGGCCTGGAGGGGCGGCTGTGCTGTACTTGGCCTGGAGGGGGGGCTGTGGAGTACTTGGCCTGGGCGCCGTCTTGGGCTCTGTACTTGGCCTGGAGGGGCGGCGGTGCTGTACGTCTATACTGAGGGCTCTGTGATGAGGGCGCCGTCCGTCTATACTGAGGGCTCGGGTGGGAGGCATCTACCTTTACTGAGGGCTCTGTGCTGAGCGCGCCGTCCGTCTATACTGAGGGCTCTGGGCGCCGCCCGTCTATACTGAGGGCTCGGGTGGGAGGCGTCTATCTATACTGAGGGCTTTGTGCCGGGGGCAATGTCTGTCTTTATCAAGGGGTATATGGGGGGGAGGGGGGGCATCTGTCCTTATGAACTTTGTGCTTATGTATGTTAGGGTTATCTGTAATGTTGGGGTTCAGGCTTTGGGGGGGATTGACTCGTGCTTTGACGAGGGGTGATTATGTTCATACTCTGTAAGGTGGTCTCTGTGTTGCTCGCTCCTGACCCCTGAACTTCAGGCGGGAGTTCATCAGAAGTGAACCAGACAGAATCTGGAGCAGCTGTGATCGGCAAACAAGTCAGCTTGAAATTCTCATTTTCAAAGCTTTTAGTTTAAATCAGTGAATTTGCCCCTCTAGGGCAGCTTATCGGACCCCCTCCACCAGGCAGGAAAGTACAGGATACATAGAATGGATTTTCCATCTTCTGCAATCTAATGTCATTTTTGTCACCAAACCCCAATAGAGATGCTTTTGCCATGAAATGTTTGTGCAGCAAAACAAAGCTTCACGTTAAAAAGATGAATTTTATTCATTTTAATACCGAACTCCCTTTGGACCCTCATCCCCCACAGGGCAGCTTTCACCACCCGTCCTCCACAGAGCAGCCTTTGGACCCTCATCCCCCACAGGGCAGCTTTCACCAGCCGTCCTCCACAGAGCAGCCTTTGGACCCTCATCCACCACAGGGCAGCTTTCACCAACCGTACTCCACAGAGCAGCCTTTGGACCCTCATCCCCCCACAGGGCAGTTTCACCAGCCGTACTCCACAGAGCAGCCTTTGGACCCTCATCCCCCCACAGGGCAGCTTTCACCACCCGTCCTCCACAGAGCAGCCTTTGGACCCTCATCCCCCCACAGGGCAGCTTTCACCAGCCGTCCTCCACAGAGCAGCCTTTGGACCCTCATCCACCACAGGGCAGCTTTTGGACCCCCTACAGATATTACATCAATAATCATGCTACCAAAATAAGTGTGCAGTGTAAATTGCCTTTAGCATTACTCCTGTTTCTCCTTGCTGGAGGCGGCCATTTTGCTGAAGCCCAGAGCTTCATGAGCAGCAGTAAATCTTTAGGCTGTCAGCACATCGGCCTTTACATATTCAGCACAGTGCCTGAAAACAGCGAGCAACTGAGCATGTGTAGTGCAAGGTCACAACAGAGAGGGTCATCCTTCCCGATGGGGACATGGCGAGCAATCAAAGTACATCCACACTTCATCCAAAGAAAAAAATGTTCATTGTTAAATGTTGTTAATGAACGCCGGCGATTTCCAGCAACTGTCTTCTAATTCTGATCCAATTTCCGTCTCCATCTAGGTGTCGTCAAGCAGCTCCCTGACTACGACTGTATCCGCAGTGCTGTGTGCTGGCTACATTTCTGATCTCCATCCAGTTCAGGGGGCACATTTTTTTTGGAATAAACCAGATCTGGATTTTGAGGATCAACTAGAGAAATGCTGGTGATTTACTTTCAGAAAACATTGAATGTCTGGAGGCTCCCCTTTCAGCAGAAGTAAAGTACAGCCAGGAACATCCATTTGTGTATTTGACACGTGAACATCTTGTGACATCACTGAATAAAATGTATTTTTAAAGGATGTATTTCGACTTTTTTTTTTTTTGGGGGGGGGGGGGGGGTGTATGTTACTGTTAACCACTTGTCCTGCAGAGGATTCCCCCCCCCCCCCCCCACCTGAGCAGGCCACTTTTTACAATACGGCACTGCACTACTTTAACAGACAATTGCTCGGTTGTGCAACACTGTACACAAATGAAATTTGTCCCTCCCCCCACAAAGAGAGCTTTCTTTCGGTGGTATGTGATCACCTCTGCAATTTTTTTTTTGCGCTATTAACAAAAAGACTGACAATTTTGAAAAATAAAACCATATTTTTGACTTTTTGCTATAAAGCTGTAAAAAATCAAATTGCCAAAATGTATTCTGCTCCGTGTCTTTGCTAAAAAAAAATACCAATACCTGTGAATAATTGGTTTACGTGAAAGTTATAGCGTCTACAAATGGCGGTATAGATACTGGAATTTTCTAAAAAAAAAAAAAAAAAAATTTAATACTAGTAATGGTGGCGATCAGCAACTTATAGCAGGACTGCGCATTCATTCTGACACTGGGAGGGAACTAACGGACACTGACCTCCCAGTGACACCAATACAGTGATCAGTGCCCGCTGTGTCCGGAACACCAAAATGTACGAGACCTCTGTGTGAGGTCCCGATTCATGTGATCAGTGATTGGCCAATCGGTGATCACATGAACAGTAGTAAACAAGATATCACTTCCTGACATCATTGCTTACTACTAGTGAAATCTATGAATGATCACAGAGATCACATGGTACAGGGCTATTCACAATAGCCTTGTACCATGTGACAAGCTGTGACCAATCGCAGCTCTCACGGTATTGCTCTATGGCTGCAAGAATGCAGCCAGAGAGGAGAAATGATTGCTTTTACAGTGTTTATGAATGTAAATGCAGTGTAAAACAAAGAAAAAAAAAAAATCTTTTTTACAAATTATAATTTTTGGTTAAACTAATTTTGGGTTATTTTTTTAACTAAAGTATGGAGTAATGACCATTGGTTGGGATGAGTATGGAGTAGTGGCCATTGGTTGGGGTGAGTATGGAGAAATGGCCGTTGGTTAGGATGAGTATGGAGTAATGGCTGTTGGTTGGGATGAGTATGGAGTAGTGGCCGTTGGTTGGGATGAGTATGGAGTAATGGCCGTTGGTTGGGATGAGATATGGAGTAATGGCTGTTGGTTGGGATGAGTATGGAGTAATGGCTGTTGGTTGGGATGAGTATGGAGTAATGGCCGTTGGTTGGGATGAGTATGGAGTAGTGGCCGTTGGTTGGGATGAGTATGGAGTAATGGCCGTTGTTGGGATGAGTATGGAGTAATGGCCGTTGGTTGGGATGAGTATGGAGTAGTGGCCGTTGGTTGGGATGAGTATGGAGTAATGGCTGTTGGTTGGGATGAGTATGGAGTAATGGCTGTTGGTTGGGATGAGTATGGAGTAATGGCCGTTGGTTGGGATGAGTATGGAGTAGTGGCCGTTGGTTGGGATGAGTATGGAGTAGTGGCCGTTGGTTGGGATGAGTATGAGTATGGAGTAGTGGCCGTTGGTTGGGATGAGTATGGAGTAGTGGCCGTTGGTTGGGATGAGTATGGAGTAGTGGCCGTTGGTTGGGATGAGTATGGAGTAATGGCCGTTGGTTGGGATGAGTATGGAGTAATGGCTGTTGGTTGGGATGAGTATGGAGTAGTGGCCGTTGGTTGGGATGAGTATGGAGTAGTGGCCGTTGGTTGGGATGAGTATGTAGTGGAGTAGTATGGAGTAGTGGCCGTTGGTTGGGATGAGTATGGAGTAGTGGCCGTTGGTTGGGATGAGTATGGAGTAGTGGCCGTTGGTTGGGATGAGTATGGAGTAGTGGCCGTTGGTTGGGATGAGTATGGAGTAGTGGCCGTTGGTTGGGATGAGTATGGAGAAGTGGCCGTTGGTTGGGATGAGTATGGAGTAGTGGCCGTTGGTTGGGATGAGTATGGAGTAGTGGCCATTGGTTGGGATGAGTATGGAGAAGTGGCCGTTGGTTGGGATGAGTATGGAGAAGTGGCCGTTGGTTGGGATGAGTATGGAGTAATGGCCGTTGGTTTTAGCAGTTAGTAGGTCATTAGTGAGTTTTAGTAGGGCAGTTTCTGTGGAATGTTGTGGGCGGAAGCCAGACTGTCAGGGATCAAGAAGGTTGTTGTCGGTGAGGTAGCAGTTCATACGGTTGTGAACAAGGCGCTCGAGAAGCTTGGAGGCAAACGGGAGCTGGGTCTTAAGTTATTCAAACAGGTGGGGTCCAGCGGGGGTTTTTTGAGGATGGGGGTAACCAGTGCATGTTTGAGTGCATACCCCAATTTTTGGTATTTTATTTGTCGCGGTATTTCTGCAGCGGTTTTTCCAACACAAATGTTTTGAGGAAAAAAATACACTTTTTTTTTTTTTTTTTTAAATTTTATTGCAAAAAATTAACTATGAACTGCTACCTCACAATGCATACCCTAATTTTTGGTAAAATATAAAAGATATTACGCCGAGTAAATAGATACCAAATGTGACGCTTCAATACTGCACGCGCCTTGTGCAACGGCAACAAATGACATAAATTCTACTTTAACCATTTGAAGGCTAAACCTTTTCTGCCACTTTTTGTTTACAGGTAACAATCAGTTTTTGTTTTACTTGAAAATTTCTTAGAATTCCTGAATTTTTTTTTTTTTTTTTTTTTTTTTTTAAAGCAGATGCCCTAGAGAACAAATTGGTGGATGTTGCAATTTTATTTGTCACACGGTATTTATGCGGTGGTTTTTCAAACAATTTTTTTGGGGAAAAAATACACTTTTTAAAATTTAAATGCAAAAATAAAATAAAATGCATACCTTAATTTTTTGTAAAATATAAAAGATGATATTATGCTGAGTAAATAGATACCAAACATGTCACGCTTCAAAACTGCACATGCCCTGTGCAACGGCGACAAATTACGTAAATTCTACTTTAACCATTTGAAGACTAAAACTTTTCTGTCACTTTTTGTTTACAGGTAACAATCAGTTTTTGTTTTTCTTGAAAATTTTGTAGAATTCCCAAACATTGTTTTTTTTTTTTTTTTCTTTTTCTTAAAGCAGGGGCCCTGGAGAATAAATTGGGTGTTGCAATTTTATTTGTCATGCGGTATTTGTGCTGCCGTTCTCCATCCACAATTTATTTTTTTTGGGGGGGGAATACACTTTTTTAAAGTTTATTGCAAAAAAAAAAAACAAAACAATGCATACCCCAATTTTTGGTAAAGTATAACATGATATTATGCCAAGTAAATAGATACCAAACATGCCTCAAGACTGCACACGCCCGTCCAACCGTGACAAATGACTTGAAGACAAAACCTTTTCTGGCACTTTTTGTTTACATGTATCAATCAGATGGGTTTTTTTTTTTTTTGCTTGAAAATTTAATAATACTTTGAATGATAAATTCATTTTGTAAAGTGCTGAGCAAACTATTGGCGCTATATAAATTGTGAATAATAATAAATATAAATAAAAATACTCCATAAATATAATAAAAACAAGATGGTAAAAAAAAAAACTAAGTTAAAATGTGCTCTTACTCTATCGAAAATGAAAAAAAAAAAAGTTCTGCTTTAAATGACTGACTTCATGTTTGGCAAAAGTCACATTCACAACTTTATAAACTTTGTTTCTCAACCATAGTATCACCTAAACCAGTGGTGGGCAACCTTTTTTTTTTCAACTGAGCCAAATCTCGCCAAAACCACGATTGAAATTTATTTTGAGAGCCACATTTTTAAAACTGAAAATACATCCCCCATATAGTAATTCATTAGTAATCATCCCCCCATATAGTAATTCATCCCCCATAGTAATTCCCCCATATAGTAATTAATCCCCCATATAGTAATTCATCCCCCCTATGTAATTCATCCCCCCTATAGTAATTCATCCCCCCTATAGTATATCCCCCATATAATCATCCCCCCTATAGTAATTCATTCCCCATATTGTGTCAATTCACTTAACTTTGCTCCGCGCGTTCCTCTCGCCGTGTTCCGCGCCGTTCCGGTCTTCAGGGCGGACTGTGAGAGGAGAGGAGTTCGTCACGCTGCCCCGCCTACATCCTGACAGCTGCAGAGTCCAGACTTTTGGGGCGGCCGCCCGAGAGGAGGGAGGGGAGCGGGCGCCCGGCACACAGAAGAGCCGCATTAAAGTTTGTAAAGAGCCGCATGTGGCTCGCGAGCCGCGGCTTGCCGACCACTGTCCTAAACAATACTGTGCATACGCTAAATATTATAACAATAAAAATAAACATTTCAATATCAATAATACATAATCATACTTCCTAAATATAATATAAACAGTCATTTTTTTTGAATAAAATAGCAAAAGTCACAGTATTATTTTTATCAACAATCATAATACTGTATATACTAAATAATAATCAGTAAAATACTATTTAAACAGATTAAAATTAAAGGGAAGTACTAATATGCTGTACGTCCCAAATTAAAGGTGATAATTATTTAACTATATAAAGGCATTATTCTGATTAATTTTATTAATAAAATATAATTTTAATAACACTAGTGCTAACGCGGCACAAATGTAATTCAAATAATGCCAATATTTTTATTAATATTATAATGATTTGATTCATGACAATATTATTATTGTTGGTATTAGTATTAATGATGATTTATGCCAATATTACAAATGGCGATATTAATACTTTAACTGCTAATTTATATAATAATAAATTAAGAGAGGGCGAGAGGGATCACGTGGTTGCTGGGCGGGGTCCCGAGCTCGGGCCGGCAAGGTGTCGCCTAGCAACAAACG